CCAATCCGAGGACGCAGGAGCCGGGAAGAACCCTGGGCAGGGGGGAGGGATGGGTCAGAACCCCTCACCCCAGCCCCACACCACCACATCCCCCCCCTCAACCCTGGTACCTCTTTTCCTGGTGCCTTCTTCCTCACCGTGCGCAGGCTCTGGCTGCGGGAGAGGGGTTTGGGGTCCCAGTTGTGGGACAAAGGCTCTGGAGAGACCCTTGAGTCTGACCAGAGCTCCTCATCCTCCGTCTCACTCTCACACTGCCGGCAGGTTGATGATGTGCTGTAGGCTGGGGACATGGAGGGGGCACATGCCAGCTCCTGGCACAGCCCCTCATGGGTCTCACTGGAACCTTCTCCAGCATTGTGATCCCTCTTTCCCAGCTCACCCAGCAGCTGCCGGCGGGTCTCCTGCTCCTCTTGCTCCTCCAGGTACAGGGGGTCCCGGTAATGCACGGGGGCTTCGTCGGGGATGGAGCGCAGGTCCTGCATGCTGAAACTGCGGAGCCGCCCGGCCAACGCGCCCTGGCTCTGCAGAGGGGGATGAGAAGAAGCCCAGAGAAGCTGTGGATGCTCCTCTCCCTGTTCAAAGCCAGGTAGGATGAGGCTTTGAGCAACCTGGTCTAGTGGAAGGTGTCCCTGCTGCTGGCAGGGGGGTTGGAACTGGATGACCTTGAAGGTCCCTTCCAACCCAAATCATTCTATGACAAAAAAGGATGGAAATGAGCCCCACAAAGAAAACCCCAAAGCACTGGGGCAGCCGAACACACGCAGGGTGACACAACCCCACTGAGCACAGCCCTGCACCCAGAGACCCCTTCTCCTGAAAGAGTTGGGGCTGTTCAGCCTGGAGAAGAGAAGGCTCTGGGGAGACCTTCTAGTGGCCTCCCAGTACCTGAAGGGGCTACAAGAAAGCTGGGGAGGGACTTTTCATAAGGGCAGTTAGTGACAAAACAAGGGGAAATGGGTTTAAGCTGAAAGAGGGGAGGTTTAGATGAGATATTAGGAAGAAGTTCTTCACTGTGAGGGTGGTCAGACACTGGAACAGGTTGCCCAAGGAAGTTGTAGATGCCCCCTCCCTGGAAGTGTTGAAGGCCAGGCTGGATGAGGCTTTGAGCAACCTGGTCTAGTGGAAGGTGTCCCTGCTGCTGGCAGGGGGGTTGGGACTGGATGAGCTTTAAGGTCCCTTCCAACCCAAACCAGTCTGGGATTCTATGACACCCACATTACCGAGGTCACCCATGCTGGGGTGGCAATTTCCCCACAAGGTCCATGGGGATGGAGCATCCTGAGGGAAGCAGAGCAGCCTCCTGTCGTGTTCCCAGTACCTTGGCAGCCGCCTGGACCGCGGCCGTGGCTGCCAGGTTGAGGCCCCTCTTGCCGAAGCGCACCATCGTCTCGTAGCTGCGCTCCCTGGCCTGGATGATGTACGTGTCGATCTCCTGCCGAGACAACCGCGGTGGTTTGGGGTGTCACCTCATCCCAGGGTTCTGCTTTAGCAGGCTGAGCACCTTGACAGTCCCCCCCAACCCTCACTAGGGTACGTGGGACCCCCCCCAGAGCCAGGTAAGCTCTTACCTTCTCCTTGCGGGCCAGCGTGGGGTGTATGAACTTGCGGTAGAGCAGACTGGCCCCCCGGGTGTAGGGTGAGAGCAGCCAGATGACAAAAGCCATTTTAACCTCGTAATAAAAGGGAAACCTGTCAAAGAAGGGGGAGAAGATGGTGGTGAGCAGATGCCAAGAGGGTCCATGACCACGTTCTGCTCCCTCACAGGAGGGATGGTGCCTCTTCCCTTCGCATCAGACCTGGAGACCCCCAGGGCAGACAGTGCCCCTCTGTCTGCGGGCAGAAGGTGGATGCTGTCCCCTTCCTCCCCCCCCTCCACGAGGCACAGGGACCCCACTAGACCCAACCTCACCAGGAGATGAGCAGGTCAGTGAAGGTCTCAGTGGCCATGAAGAGAGCGAAGACGATCCAGTACATCATCCATCGAACCTGGGGAGAGCGGGGTGAGCCCATCAGCCAGGGCAGGGCTGGAGCTCCAGGAAGGAGCTTCCCAAACACCTTACTCACATATTCCCGGATGTTTTTGGTCTTGACAGCCTTGTAGGAAGCGTAGGCAGGGTAGAGCAGCCCGAAGAGCAGCCTGTAACAGAGAGGGGGGGGGAGGCAGGCGGGCCAGCCCGCGTAGAGCAGCAGCAGCAGGGAATAGCAGAGCTGCCGGCCCCAGCGCCCCAGTTTGGCTCGGAGCTTCTCCAGCATCATGCCAGCCCCAAATCCACCGGGAAAAGGGATTTGGGAAGAGCCAGGTGCCAGCCCCATGAACTCGCCCACTCCCACAGGGACCGGCCCGACCTGTCGAGGCGGTGGAGG